TTTTTATTATTTCTTATGATTACAGGTTAATATCACAGTTTTTTCCACTGTCACAGTTTTTTCCACTGTCACATTATTTCTGCACTTCCTATTACTATCTTGTTTTAAATTACATTTTAGCTATTCATATTTATGGGAATAAATTATGTTCATGTTGTTTTGTTATTATAAGATAGGGATTAGTACATAGATGGGTATATAATATACTTGTACTATTGAAATCTACTATCAATTATGTATAAACGCCTATTAAGTAGTATATAATTTATACCCATGTAAGTAAATGTACTTTTATAAATGTCATGTAGGTAGAGCACTTCTATTACCGTGACATGGTATAAATTATAACATATTGAGTATATAATATATCTGATATAACATAGACTAAACCTTATGCGATATAAAATTTATCCATATGTATTGATGTAAATCATTAACGGTATATGTCCAATATATTTTTAACTTTAAATCACCATCCGTATATATCGAGATACATAAATCTTGAGATATAATATATATCCTTATCTAAACACTATATATCACCATACATACGTTACTCAGAACAAACGAATAAAGAAAAATATACTCGTATATACCAATTTAATACCGAAAATCCTCTGTAAACTAGAGATATATTATATATCCGATTTTCCATGGAAATTGTTTCACCGGTATATATGGAGATACTTTTATGTAGATATATATGATATATCCTAATCTGTATCACTATATTATATAAACTCAAATATACACTATTATAAATGATATTAGCAGATACATTGAGATATCAGAAACTAGAGAGCAACAGATTCTGTCAAAAAAATGAAACATAATTTTAGAATATACAATAAGAACTATATCTCCAAGGACAAACGRTCTGGATTGATCATGCGAYGGAGGAAGAAGATGAAATTAGAACTTACAGGATAATGGGTCGACGTAGCCGCCAGAGACGAAGGAAGCGTGACGATGTTGCCCTTTGAAATGCGACCGAGGCTGCCGAAGATATTTTCTGCAGAAAACGGAGAAGCACCCGCCGAAGATATCTCTTCAGAAACGTGACCGGAAGCTTGATGAAGAGGTTACGAAATCAAATCCCAATTTTTGAATTTTGAATTTACTTGATTTCATATATCTTAATAAATATTTACCAATTTCGTATTTTATTAATGATTTATTATTGAGATGAATATAGCGTAAATTCTATCACTTTCCATCTTTTTATGTAATTTAATCTCCTAAATCGACCCTACTAATCTCAAAATATTAATATTAACAGCCCAAAATTTTTAACTTCATACGGGCCGAAACTTAAGTGGCAGCCCAAACATTGAGAATGTCATTTTATAGGGAGTCATTGCACCCACCTTCGGTGGATTTCTTCGATGTGGGACAATACATCTCAATCTGTTCAAATCTAAATTTTGAATTCTTGTTTAAATTAAATCTCAATTTGCGACTAAATTGTTGACTTCATTTTTTATCTTTTTCTTTATCTTCTCTCTTTAGGGCTTTTTTCTCATAATTATTTTTAATTACATATGAAAATAGATTACTTAAGTTAAATAGGTTCATCTTAGGAACCTTTGTTTCTCGCGACCATTGCTTAAGTCTCAAATGTGGAGCATTCATCTAATCTCTCAAGTAAGTTCTCAGGTAACTTATTGGCCACTATTAAAATTTTATTAACTAATTCAAATAATTTCTATCAAAATTTATGTTGAAATCGGCATTCTAATACAAATATTACATGTATTTTTAGACAAATTTTCCATTGTATAATACAAGTAAGAGGATTAAAGATACGTTTGAGAGAACTTCTGCTATTGTCAAATCACCCCATTTTCCATTGATCATGTTTGACAAATCAAAAAAATTGATTTTAGAAAAATTTGAAATCATTTTAAATTGATGTTTAAGGTATATTTTAAATGGTGATTTTGAAAAATCAATTGTACTTAAATCTCTTTCTTCAAAATCACTTATTCTACCATCACTCCCAAACACACTCTAAAAATCATCCATTATTGCCTAATTAAGCCACAATTAAAATATCATAAACTAATTCAAAATATTTCCATCAATTTCCAATGATTTTAATAATTTTTTTGAAATTCTCATCTACAAAAATATTTCTATCTATATTTCTATAAAATTGATACCTTGACATTTTCATCCAAGATCAAAATTTTAAACTTGGTAAATGACCAACAGCAAGAAATTTCTATGGTCGTGGAATCCGTAAGGAAGCATGGTTGTTGGTGGATTTAAGTGGAAGAATAGTTGATGAGGTGGGTTTGTGGAAAGATGGTTGATTTTGGAAAGTTGGGGTTTGAGAATTAAGGTGGCTTTGAAATTACTTGGTTCTTTCAAAGAATCCTTCTCTCGCACGTCTTCTCTTAGCTTAGCTTCGCGAGGGAATTAGGCTTTCTAAGACACAAAGTGAATCTCCCTTCTTCAGAATCATGGCTTATGATGGTGAAGCTCATGCCTTCAAAGGAGAAGACAAATCTGTTCAACCAATAATTCAAAGGAGAAGATTGACCTACGTGCCCTGAGGACTAGGCTGAAGATTAGACCAATCGAAGAATCATCAAGTTCTCTTTAGTCCACTTGAGGATATTGACCTCAAGCCCGATAACCCACAACCATCCAAATTGTCCCACGCCCACTGCCTACAAAAAGAGGACTCACCCCTCTCACTCAGGTGCGCAATTTTGTCTCAGCACGATTTACCATAGTTTGAATTTCTATTGACTTGAACGTCAGAGTGTTTGTTCCTTTTTTGTGGGTCATTCTCATGCAGCTCGCTTCAAAATCGACGCAAGCTGATTTATTCAGCTCGGTAGAATCCAACATCGACATAACGTTTGAAAGAAACCTAAGAATTTATGAGAGGATCTATTATTATGTCATGTAACCATAATCATCTAATTATTCATATATATGTCATTGTGTCAACATGATATAAATTCAGCAATATTTATCTTTTTATTTTTTTAAGTTGGGGTTCAAATCCCCATACTCATTAAAAAAAAACATATCACAATAAATCTGCATAATATTTTGATAAGTAAGTCGTAAATGGATAATATTTTGATAAATAAGTCATAAATGGATAAGAAGAAAATTGGGGAATAAGAAAAAAGAAAGGAAACTTCAAAAGGAAAATGTTTAAAAAACTTCTAAGAAATTGACTAAAAATAATTCAGGAATATTGTTAAACAACAAAAATTACAAGCAAGAAGATTATCATGTAACATAGTCGATATTAAACATTTATATAATAATTAACATATAGAGATCCATAGCTTTTGTTAGCTTGTGAAGCTAAGGAACAATGGAGCAACTGCAATGTTACAGCAAAACAATTCCTCGATAATTCGAAGAAATATCAAAGAAAAAAAAATGCAAAACATTCAACACAGCCCTTCTATACTAATACAATGTTAAATCACCATGAGTCTAAAAATTTGAATTAATAGATGATATATTTAATCACTTATTTATATTTTTAACATTAAAAGAACCAACATAAATACGAGATTGTTATTTTCCACGGAATTAATAAATCAAAGTGACGTTGACTTGGATAACAGAATATCCTCTTGCTGCATCGAAAGAAACGGTATCTGTGTTAATAAACCCTCTTGTCAAACGGAATTTTCCTGTCCCTGCAACAACGGGTAGCTCTCTATTAAGGTCAAATTGTCTGCTGGTTCCTTGGATCTCAATGCTACTTCCATTGAACTTTCCACCTGTGAACACCAAGGAGAGGAGGACGAGGAGGTTTCGGCCATCGAGCCCGGTGACGACGTAGATCCCCTGAGCTCTGCCGATGCTCAGCGCATCCTCATTTGGGGTGGCAGTAATCGAATCGTCGGTTACAAAGAATGTCCCGAAGTCGGTGTAGTTGAGTGTCGAGCCGGGGAGGCCGACGACGGGGAAGAAGGTGGTGTTGGGACCAAAAGCATAGTCTTGGAAGTAAATGGTGAACTTGGTTTTTTTAGCTTCAACGGAAAGAAGCAAGGTCATGGAGATGGAGGAAGCAAGGCACAAAATGAAGAGGGTGTGGATTTGGTTTTGAGCCATTTTTGGTGAGAAAAATAAGAAGAGAAGAGTTTAGGGGGGAGAATTAGTGGAAATTGAAGTTTTGTGCTTTTTTTCTTGGGTGATTTGGTCTCTATTTATATAAATTGAAGGGTGGCCTTTTTAATTGTTATTATTATTATTGCTTCTATTGAAGGAAATAATATTTGATGATTGGTCTAACAATGGGAAAATTTGTTAAAAATAAGGGCATGACTTTTATAATTTAAGTCAATCAAGATGCATTCCAAAGAAGGAAGTTTTTTTGCGTTTTTTGTTTGATGGATGAATTTCTATTAGATTAATTTAGTCAAAGTTTGAGATTAAAGCAAATTTAATTAATCCATTCATTCCCTTCGTTTATGTATAAAATGGAACCGACCAAATCAAAGGGATTTTAAGAAGAATTAATATTTTACATTATATTAGTATTTACATGACACCATATCAATGTTTATGTAATATAATATCCACTAAATATATAATTTTATCTATACTTTTTGTCAAATCCTTATTTTTCAACTTCAAAAACATTTTTTTCCTGGGAGGAAACTTCAAAACATATTAAAGTTTGATGAAAACTGGCGCCTGTTTTTTTTTTTTTTTAATTTTATTGTCCCATTTAATCTATACTCTGATCATACAAAACATGAAATCACACTAAAAAAAGATATTTAAAAAGTCATTTAATTAGACTAAATCAATTCTGTTGAATTATCAATTAACTCAAACTGTGTGCTCTAGGTTTGAACCCTATTCTAAACTTGAAGAAAAAATCAAATCAAACCTCTCTTTAATATTTTATTGGTAGTTCATTTTATTGATTCACTATTTTCAAGTCATCCTTAGGATTACAATTTTATGCAGGTACAACTCAGGAAATTTGAACATATAATATATATACTTCCATATAGTGACTAAATTTTACTAATTTAATTGTTACCACCAAACATATAAATGATTTGAACATCCCAACTTCATTAGTTAAGCAAAGCGAAATAACCCTATCTTATTATAGAATTTTAGTATGATATTATCTTTATTATGGAATTTTAATTTCACCAAAAGACCTCGTATCAATAGAAATAATAATTCTCACTTGTATACTATAAATCACCTCTTTCTCTACCAACGGTGAGATTTTGTTTGCATTTCTTACCACTGTAACTATTAATGTCCTTTTAAACTTTTATATTATTAAATTTGTTAATTGTTGTGTTTATTATGAAATAAATTATTTATCTAGGAAGAGCAATCACCTTCAATTTTGGGGCATGTATATATATATATATATGTGAGATCATATGATAAATATAAAATAAGCTTTCAACCAAAAATACCAACATGATTGGGTTATAATTTTCATTAGCACATGATGTTTATATGAAAACGATTTTAAAGATTTAGAATGGAAATATTCCTTTCACTTGACGCTTCCAAACGTTTTAAGAATTTTCTTATTCTCATTCTTATTTATTTTTATTTATTACTTGTATCTCTATTTTCCTTTTCTTAGGAAATTCAAAAGTCAACTCATAAGGTGAAAAATGACCAACCCATGTTTGACCCAAAAAAAAAAACACCATGAATCAGGAGGATCATTTTTTTTCCTTATAATTTTTAAAAGTAAGATAATTTATAATATTTAAAATAAAAAACAATGATAAGTAGATCTCGTGTGATGCATGACTTCAATTTTTTTTTTTATTTCTTGAAATATCTAATCAATTTATTTTCTTCTTGAAAAAATGAGAGTTTTATTAATAGAGCAAATTATTAACTTTTTGTTAAACAAAATCTTCAAAAAAAAAAAAATCGAACAACAAGTTTAATAATTGATTTATTTACTTTTGTTGTATATTTAAACTAAAGTCAATTAATGTAATCCATAAAAATAAAGCAAATATACCAAAAAAGAAAAAAAAAAAAAAGTCCCGGGGAAAAATTCACTTTATTCAAGCAAGCCAAAAGAATTGAGTATAATTCAAAATTTTATGAGTTGACCAGACCTAGGTGATTAATAAAGGTCTATATTGAATCATTTTGATTCTTTATTTTTAAGAAAGAAAGAACGTAAAATGTCATTTTTCGATTATAATTCAATTGGTTATGGTTTGTCAAATTAAACACCAAACACCATTGTTTAAAGTTTTAATATTTATTATTTATTTTTTTATTTATATATTCACTTCTTTTTTTTTTAAGGAAACAAATATCAAATCACAATTGGTATTTTAAAATCGTTGTGATTTGTCATCAACTTAGTCGAGATTTGATGCATGTTCTCTTTTAAACTATATACACGTATTTGATCAAGAAAATGTCCAAAGGCTACGAAACTTGAACTTAGTATAACCGATGAATAGAGGGACCTCCAAAAAAGAGTAATTAGCTCCGATGCTCTCAAGTCAATATTACTCGAGAGAGCCTCTGACAAGACCTTAGACTTGCTATAACTGCTCTTCCACAGCTCTAGAAATCACAATGTGTTGTCTAAGATTTAATTTGGAAGTTTGTGCTTGCATATGCTTTTGAAGGTTCGGGTCATCCATTAAGACAAGGTTCGCCGAGGTATAAAATGTAGGCCGACTCCACCTTTAGGAAGACCTCACACAAGGCTTGAGTAGTTCAGCTCGGGATATAAGAAGGTTCGAGCTGTTGGTTTCTTTCTCCAAAATTTGTTCTTCTAAGTGAATCATCGAGGTAGTTCATTGTTGCCCATCTATGAACCGATGATACGTGGTAAATGAGAAATCAACTCCATCAACATGTCTCTTTTTTTTTTTTTCTGTTCTATATATTCATCAAAAGTTATATTATAGAGAAAATAAAAGCTATCTAAATATTAGCTTATTATTATTATCATGTCTAAGAATCAATGATCTAGACAGAATTAATAAAATAATCAACCTTCATTGGATTAAATGACATTAAAAATTTGACTTCTAATTCAAGATAATGTTAATATATATATATTTGAATGGTAAATAGAGTTGAAAACTTCTTGGCCAAAATAAGAATGAGTCGGTATGCACCTACAATCGTGGATCATTACTAATGGATTATATCATAAGTAAAATTTTAAGTAACCTATTATAATAGGTGAAGTAGTATGGAAAAAGTAATATTGATTTTCCATCTAGCAAAACATTKATTTTTCTTTTAAAAAAATTATATATTGCAATTTGATGAAAAGAAAATTAAGTGATTATTAAAAAAAACAACAAAAATTGAATTGACTTGCATTTTAAATTTCTACCCTGGTTAACTTTAACTTCAAGTTTCTATTAAAAAAAAAAGAACCTTTAACTTCAGTTTAGTTCTTTATCCATACCGTTGATAAAAGTTTTATTATCATTTTTGTTTCAGTCAAAAAAATGATCAATCTCGAGATTTGGAACAGTAAAAAACAAAAACAGTTAACTCTGAATACTATGCACGTTACATGAATCTCGACTAGGATTTCGTGACTATGATAGTGAGAAGTTATGCGGTTATGAGGCGGTTTTCAATCTCAAGCTACAGATTATTGATTGGTCTTGAAGAAAGACACAAAAGAATGAAATAGTTTAAAATTGACTGATCCGAATTGCTACATGATATGTGAGCATAACCCTAATCTTTTATTTGAGACGATACGTGGCATTGTCCAATTTTCTATTCCTCCTTCTCATCAATAGTAAAGGATGTTTAATAACTTAAGATTAAAATGATGAAAGTAGAAGGATCYAGGTTAAAAATATGTCAACTCAGATATATTTTAACTTGAAAATAATGTTTTAAATAGAATTGTTATATTGATTTAAGGTATTATTAATTAACATAAAATAAACTACGTTCTAATTTTTCGTTATATATATGGGGAAGTGTTGCTTTAAACTCTTACAATTTAAAAAAAAAAAGAGATGGATATTTAAAATTTCAACTTAGAAATTATAAATACTTTGACTAATTAAGCTATGGACATTGGACAGGTGTTTTACAAGCAAATATCATGTTGTAGGACGTTCAATTGAATTTTTTAAAAGAAAGAAAAAAATCATAGGTATTAAAAATATTGAAAATTAATTTGACCGTCCATCCGTACAAAAGACTGTTTGTCATGCAGATGACAACCAACTAAAACAATTTTTTCCCCCTCACGCATATCACAACCAACTACACAATTGTTATTAAATCAAAATTTAAATCTAGTATAATCAATCAAGTTGCAAATTTATTGTCTAAATTATAAATTTAGGTTTTAAATTTTGATTCTGTATTTTTTTAATTCTAATAAGTCATCTTTAACGCAATCTTGACATGATATATTTTATTAGTTCAAAATGTATTCTTCATACTATATATCATGTCAATATCTAGGTAATAATTTGATGTTAGAAACCTATTAAAATTAAGGATTAAATAAATGCAACAACCATTTTTTTGAATTAAATTTGTAATGYAGATAATTTTAATTAGACTATAAACTCAATACATGCAACCCAACCTTATGATAGAAAAATTGGAATAATTAGTTTGTGTTATGCAAGTTGTGTGCATCTAAATGAAGTTATAGATAATTATCTTTCTAAAATAATTAAATAGAGACATAATGTGTCATATTCATCAATTATCATTGAATATGATATAATTGATKAAAGAAAGAAATTATATTTGAAATCAATTTTAAAAAACAAATAATTAGGGAAGTTGTCAGTTGGATTAAGATCCCCTTGATATGTTATAAGGTGACGGTTCAAACTAAAATTTAAAAGTTAAAATAAAACGACGGTCAATTTGGCAATATTTTCATATAATTTCTCTTCCATATCCTTGCCGTCCACGTAGGCTTTAGAAATCAAACGCTTTTCATTTCATTTCAAAATAGCTTATTGGACGACACGTCGAATGGATTAGCCTTTTATTATTATTATTATTATTATTATTAAATGAATTAGGCCTGTAGATTTAACAAGGCCAAAGCCTAACTCTCAATTCTCGTGCCATAGTGCGGTTCCGGTTAAATAATTTCACTAGGATAATACTTTCAATTAAATTTTTTGAAATATGTAATGGGTT